AAAACAAATTTACAGTTAGGAAATGTAAATATTAAAGTCTAACTTTTGAACGTTAAAATTACCATTTACTCATTTTTTGCTTAATATAAAAAAATCCTAGAAATAAATTTCTGGCAAAACTACTTGAGAACTATCTGTGCTAACTATTCCTAATTTAGAAATGATAGACTACCGCGAACTGTTGGGCTATTCTTTTACCAACGATTGACAGTTACATCATTACATCCCCATGGCTGTAAGGACGAGCATGTTCGGTGACTGAATTCGAACTTGCGACCCGTAGATTAAGATTAACCTTAACCATCGGGCCATGTCAGTCCTCTGTTTTGATGGGGGCATAACAATAAAAATCATGTCCAAAGGTAAGAGAAACTATTTATCAGGTTTCTGAATTGGTGGGAAACACTAATGCGCCAACAATCATATCACTGTCATCCATCATCTTCAAACACATACCCTCATGTTGATTTAACATTTCCAGCAAAATACGGTTCAGCATTAACATACCATAAAATAGTCCTGACACCGTATATTTCAGTTGCTTAGCAGATGGGTTGATATTCCAACTTCATCGTTCATGGCACCCTTCATTTACATAGCAGATGGATTATTATTCCAACCTCGTCGTTCATGGCACCCTTCAGGTTCATAGCAGATGGGTTATTATTCCAACCTTTTCGTTTCCTTATACTTGACAAAAACATTTTCAGATGGCCCTGTCAAATCTTGAAAGGACCTTTTAGTTTCACAATATTGAAGTATAGCCGTGAAATTCTCTACAAACCTTAGCATGCGATTTAGTAATTGTTCCTTTGATACAATTAAGTGTCGGGTATTATTAAATCAACAAAGTGTATTATTCATTCCAGTTTTCCCCTATATGACGTCTATGTTTAAAAGAAACAAGAGCCAGTGGTTACAATAATTCAAAATTAAGTTTTCTATATATATATATCGTAAGATATCAGACACGAGACATCATTATTTCTTAATATATACACATAGGTCAATTAAGGAATAGTGTCACATGCCTGATACCTTAAGGTTGTTTAACACTTTCTAAAACCTGGAATTGAAAGTATCGTGGAATAATAATTCTCATAAAAAAAATGTATTTATTCTTGTATCACAGAAATAAAAAATAAAATACCAGCAGCTAAAGTGTTTTACTGAAAATAAATAATAAGAAAAATAATTACAAGTTACTCCGATATTTATCGAGTGTGCAATAAAATAGTGTATTTGAATAATAACCAGTATACTTATTTTTTAAAATATATAGCTAAGACTACTTTAACCTGTTCGAAACATCTTACTAATTCCTAACTTTGCTGTTTAAACTTCTACGATAGCATCGCATTTGAAGAGTTAGACAACGAAGAAGGAATATCGAACAGTGCACATAGGTAACCGAATCTCCTTTACTTGAAACCTAGGAGCTGGTCTCGCTGGGTAGTTTTAGAAACTTATACATCATACTAAAGCAATCCCCATCATGAAGATACCGAGAAACGTTATTAAAAGAGGAGGTATGTTTTAGTTGTCAAGACTTTATCTTTGAGCGTTTAATTATTATAGAAAAATTCCAGGCAGTCATAAAGTTTCGTTAGTCAACAACAATCATGGATCAAATTATAGTAGTGTATTCGTTCAATACCTGTTTTTACCCACCCAAAGAAAGAAAGAAAGAAAGAAGACACACAGGTGAGAAAACATTTCTTCAGCGCCAAAAAATATAAGTCGCTTGAGCAAAGTAACCTAGTTCAAGTTATAAGACATTAAAATAATTATTGCTGTGTTCACCAGATCATATCGCCACTATCTATGGGTGTAATTTGTGTGAAGCCATTCTCTTAGAAAAATGAGTAAAGGTTGTAAAATAATAAAGGACAACAACAGTCAATATGTTTCACTGCAGTCATTGTGTTAAGTGAAGGCAGCTGTTAAGTTTAATATGCCTTCAACTTTCATATAAACTTCAACAAGGAAGCAAAGAGAATATACTTGGCTTCCTGGGATGCCGATACTCCTCTCCAAACTAAGCTTTATGTGGTAACTTTAATAGGCATCACCGTATAAGGCTTTTGTGAAGAAAAAAAAAGGAAAAAAAAATCAACACGGGAAGTAAAGGAAAACTTGGAAGATTACTCGATCTAATCTGAATATAATGAATGTGACGCCCTTTGTAAATACACCGATTTGGTTCAATCCCTTCGAGAGTTTCACAGTTTCCAAGGATGTGAGAGATTCATTACGAGGGGACCAAATAGTCTGTCACAGACAGGCTCAGCTTGTTTGTGTTCAGCAGTTTTTAGGCAAGTAAAGGTTTTCAGCAGATTTAGAAAAAGCAATTGAAATAAACATTTTTGTCACGTTTTCCTCTAAATATGGTAGTAATAGAAACATCTACAAAAACAACAACAGTTGTTCATATTAAGCAAGTAGAGATTAACTAGCAAAATAAAACCATTTTCAACTTTGCACTAAAACGTTATCAATGCTAGATATGTTTTACGTTTTTAGTGATAGATTTCACAAGTTACTTTTTAGAGGTTAGCATACCGAGAAATAACGTTAAGTTGTAGAAAATTTGGTTATTATATGAAATTTTCATCTGTTGAAAAATTGGCAGGTTTCGAATGCACTTTGCACTATTTGTTACATGCATATTGCTAGCTCTTGGTGCTCGACATAATATAGATAAGCTACTAGTGCTATATACGGGTTCTATACAGTAACAGACACGAACTATCAATGCTAATAGTATCTACTATATATATATATCTTAAGTGTCGTTCTGAACAAAAATATGCTATAGGATTATACAGATAGAGGATAACGGTATAACACAATTTTTTTTCTGTTCCAAACAGATATTGAATTTCAATGTTATATATCCAGAAAAGTTGCTAATGGTAAAATATATCTTGCTTGTCTTACAAGAAGCAAATTATTATGTCAGTAATATATTAAATCTGGATAAGCAATTAGCAGTAGCTATATCCATAATAGATCTTGGATTAAAATGAAGTTGTCCTGTTAGTGCTAGATATATGGAACATAGATACTGAGGAATTAAATTGTTGTATTTTTATGACGTACTGATACTACGTTTTAAGTGTAGACAGATCCTACATTTTTAGTGTTGGTAGGTCAACGATACACCAGTAGAGTTAAAAAAAAAGTCCTGAATAAACACAGATTTGGAACATGTTTTAGAATTAGTGTTATACTCAAGATATAAAACAATTATGTAACAATTTCATAGACAAGGCTCATGGTGACTGGAAGATTTCAGAGTATACTGGTGAGTAACATTAAAGCAGTGGTTCCCAAACTTTTCTCAGTGACCACACCCTAGCCCACTTACCTTATTTTGCACAACATCCTTGCTGCCACATGCAATATTTTTGTGTGTGTGTTCTTAATTGTTTTTTGTTTGGTGAAACTCTTGTGACACCCCTAACAACTTGCCATGATACACTAGTGTACAACACAGTTTGGAAACCACTGCCTTAGAGAATAAAATGTATAAATATAGCTTTTGAAATAGACTTCATCTTACTTATATAACAATGTGTTTGAAAATTAATATACTGAAGTGTGTTACAAAGTACTGATCTTTACAAGTTTCTTTATTTTCACTGGATAGAAATATCTTTGATATTGAAACTAACATTTCTCAGTTCAGCTTTAAAAATGTTCCTGAATCTTGCCAATAAGAAAGATTCTTCAGGAATCTATGTATGTATGTATGTCTGTACAGAGGGTGCTGAAAGCTTGTTTAATAAGAATTGATGACTTGTTTTACGGTCTGCTTGCCAAAACTTGAAAGTATTTTTCTCTTTTTTGACTAAAAAGATACAAGTTTTTAATCTTACCAACCCACCGGAAACACTTTTGTACTTCTTGGCCTAGATTTGTAAAACCTAGTGTAATCTTGTACTTAATACTCTGTCATGCCCTGCATTATGTTAATTAACGTTAAATTAGTGACAATTGTGGGGCCATCTTATTAGCATTTGTTTTACAATCTTACCTCCCATTCCTTTGTGACTTTCCCTTCAGAGTAACGTTTTAGTAAACAGAAAGATTTGCCAGCATTGAGAAATATACAGTTGTTTGAGTTTTATTGTAAATAGTGACAGTGATAAAATATATACCAAAATACAAGAGACTGTACATTTCACACCCTAAATGTTAGTTGTAAATTGTATGTTTTAAATAGAATCAGCTGAAATAAACTTGACCCAAAGGTAATTTATTTTCAGTTGATCTAATATATAATTATGTTGTTGTATTTAAGTTATTAATGTGCAGAAGATTAATGTTCTATGTAGTTTCCAAATTTACACAAACCCAGACAAGTTTTTACTATTTGTTTTCACTAGTAATTTTTTTACAACTTAATCTATTTACTATGGTGAAAATTAAACAATCAAAATTTCTATTTCCTTTATATATACATTAAAAAATATTTTTACTTGATATTGGATATAAAAAGGTGTTAATAATAGTACCAAAACACAATGTATTTTAGAAAATACTTATAGTTGCATACTGTTATTATCAAGGAAGATAAATGTTAGTAACTGGTCGTAGCTATTCTAAATTTCTGCTCACATTGTGTATGTTTTCTTCTTCATAGTTTACATTTCAACTGTTTGTCAATCAAATAATCTTGTAAGGAAAACAAAAAAAAATCTGTAAAATATGTTTTTGTCCAGTGCAAATTTGTGAACTTCTGATTAAACAAAATGATGCTGTAATTCTGGCAAAATAAAACTCTTTCAGAGATACTTTTCGTGGAGAGATCTTTAATTTCATTTTGCAGTCTCAACACAAAATTTTTCGAGCTCTTCATTTAAAATATATTTTTAAAATATCATTTAAGTACGCAAATTTATGTACAATTTAGATTTATGTTCTTTTTCAGACTACTAACAGTTGGTTAGATCACAATTTCTAAACTAGAACATAAACACTGAACAGCATTCCACTTCATAGCATACATGCTTCTACTTTTTATGTTTCAATCAGAAAACTTGATATTAAAATTTTCAAATATGTCTTTTAGATAAACACTGAAATACCAAAACACAAAAACTTATATGTGTAACTCTTACAACATAAGAATGACTAACAATCATGCCATATTTCATATTTAATTGTTCATAAACAGGATATGGTTCAACCAATTTGAATTAGGAAAATAATGTTATAAATATAATTTACATTTGAATACAAAACTACTTTTAATCTGACGTGCCTTATTTGGTTTTGGGATTCATAAAAACATAACCAACCACAAGTATTTGTAAAATTATTTATTAAGTTATTCATGTCCCAAATCTAAACATTTCATATGTATTTGTTCTAACACAAAATGGAGATCCAGCAAATAGCTTTAGTACAAAATACATCTGGCTTACTAAATACTTGTATCTATTTTCAAAGTCTGTTCATGATCCTTTCACATATTCCAATGACCAAATTTTGGGTTGTGATCCATGGCTTCAGATATGCTTATGCATATATATTTATATTACAATGTTTTCTAATTGCCATGAAAATCAGTTTAAAAGGGGTGTCTATATAAAATCTCCTCTTTTCAAAGTGTCTTCACAAAGAAATATTATTAAACACATACACAAACAATAATGTAAACACTGACAAAACAATTCTGCCATATAATACTGGATTATATAAATAGCTAATTAAAAATTTTATCTTAAAAGTTTTGCAAAAACTCTAATATTTTTCTTTGCAAAATTCTATAGAAACTTGAAATTGTATGCAAGTTTTTAAAGTATATTTTTGTGGTATGCAGGTACATTAATATTCAGCACCAAAGTCACAAGTATTCTCAATGTACTTCAGACTCGGGAAATATTTTGCTGTTGACTCAATTAAATTCAGACAACACAAGAATAAAATTAAAGAGAAGCATAAGACAAACATCTTTATTCATTCAACGAGCCCACCTCTCTGTAGCATCACGGACTTTTTTAGTTGCTGGACCAGGAAAATCCACCCATGTTAGGAAAAATGGTATATCACGTCGATAGTTTAGAATAAAATTTCCTAGTGTAACATCCCACAGTCCTACACTTCCAACTATTCCTATTATACATTTAAGGGAGATAAACTCCCAGCTTATACTAACTTGCAGAGATCTTTACTGAAGTTCAACTCTTACTCCAGGAAAGTGATGATCCAAAAAACTGGGTCATGCAAGTCTAAACCCTTTAAAGAATAACCGAAGTGGCATGTGACCTACGTCCAAAAGGACCTCAACTAATTAATATGCAGAATACTTGCACACTGATTTTGAAACACTTGCCTGAATAAAGATAAATATCATCACAATTAATCAGATAAATGGTTCAAATATTTTCTAATTGCTACTTGACACCATTGTATCTTGTTTTATTTAACACCTACTTTTATTTAAACAACTGCACATTTCATTCAGTGAAAATTCAATTTGCAGCTAAGGCTGGCTTGTTTGGCCATACTACATTCAGCAAATATTGGGTACAAAGTTTAGAGCTTAAGAAACATTACAGCATGCAAGGAAATACATAAATAAAGAAACCATAGGATTTATTTCCTTTCAGAAGAAGTAATTTTGAAATGTCAGCTTGTCTTGCTGAATTATTAAATATATTTTGTTCTGATATGGAGGACTGAATTAATCATCTAATTGCCTTTAAACTAACAAGTGAATACTCAAAATGGAACACAAAGAAAAATATGGGTTAGTTAATCCTCTGATCTGTGTCAGCTTCAAAATGTGACATTGACAGTTCTTAAACTTCATACAAACCAGTTAATTGGTCAGAAAAATTTCAAACCGAGGCACCCTTAATAGAGATATTATTTTGCAGCTATGGGTAAACAAAATCTAAAGGTGTTTTAACTGTAACATTTTCAATAATAAAATATATATAGAGAGATGAAATATAGATGTACAGATAGTACTTGAAATGTGAACTTCACAGATTAAACAATTTAATCCTTTGAATATCTCATATATATATATATATCATATAACACAACAGTTATGTTAATTCTAACATCTACAGAAAAGTGTGTTTA